CACCGGGCTCCGCACACGCGCGCACGGTGACGCTGCCATCCCCGACGTCACTTCCAGCACACGATGATGTTGGGGTCGTTCTCCAGGCGTTCATCCAGCTCCTTGTAACTCATACCTGATTGGAGGGGAAGGCAGTGGGGTGTTAGTGCTGTCAGGGGACTGGGTTCCCCAGCTTCTCCCCTGGCAGCGCAGGCTTGGCAGCCCAGCTCAGTGCAGAGTCTAGCACAGAGTCCCGTCTCCCTGCAGTCTTAAAGTTCCCAAAAGGGGCAAGGGAGACCCTGAAACAAGCGCATGGCCCTGGGCACAGGAGCGGCCCTCTGCCTCCCACCCACCCAGACACCTGCACGGAGAGCCCGGATCCTCACCGGTCTTGCAGCAGATCTCATCATAGCTGTGGCAGCCTGTGTACAGCCGGGCTGGGTGGCTTCGCTCATCCCGGGCGACCTTGACAGGGTATTTCTGGAGCCGCCGGATAAGGCCCTTCATCAGACCAAACTGGATAAGCCTCCTGCGGACGAGGAGGGAAGAGACTGGGACCACAACACTGAGGTGTCAAACACCCCAGCTCCCCCTCTTCCCTTCTCGTTCCACCATGCCACACCACTGCCTCCTGTTTCCCCACCTACGGACACAGGGGTTGGGTACTCCCTCCTCGCTCCCCCACACTCGCCCTGCCACCCCCGCTGTCACCACAGACCAAGCAGGAGGGTGCTGTCTCTGACCTCTCGTCCACCCTCTGGAGCTGCAGGGTGTAGCGGGAGATGAGGTCTCGCACCGTTGTGCCAGGGCTCAGCCCGCAGTACAGCTGGAAGACATCCCTGAGGCTGGCTCGCTTGTGCCCTGTGGGGACAAGTCACCAGTCAGCTGCCCTCTGCCCCTGCCTCCGCCGGCAGCCCAGCACAGGGTCACCTTACCTTGTTTGGTGACAAAGGACAGACACTCTTCCTGGAGACACTTGTCATCCACCAGGTCCTGGACCTTTGGCGTGGTGCAGTAGACATTGGAGTACTGGAGGGCAAGGGAAAACAGCTCTGCTCAGTCCCAGCTCTGAGAGGCATCACTCTGAACCCCACTGTCCCCCCCGCGTGGCTACCCCAATGGTGCAGCCGCTGCCCAAATCCTGCTCACAGCCCCATGTTCCATGGCCTGACCCACCTGGAGTATGGAGACAAGAGTGACGACCCCGTAGTACCTGCAGACAGACAGGGAAACATGAGGTACTCTCTCTGACAGCACTCACCACCTCCCAACTTATGGGCTGGCCAGGCCCCTTCCATGCACTCACAGCAGGTTTTGCACAGCAATGCGCACCAAGTTCAGCTCCACATCAGCTTCTGCGGAAATCTTCTGGACGTGCCGAAAGCCGTCGATGTAGGGCAGGATCTAGTAGGGAAGAAAGCAAAAGCTGAGAGGGGAGAGAGCAGAGAGACCCAAGGCATCACCCTGAAGCCCAAGAAACTCGCATGCATGTGGCAGCACACTGGGGCAGGTGGGCTCTATCCCCAGCACCATTTTATCCTGATGTTGGGTGAAAGGGCTTCTCGCAGGCCCAAGCACAAAGACAAGGGAAGCAGCAAACCATGGGCACTAACGTGGTGATCTCTGGGACAGCCCAACTCCCCTGTGCCTCTGGGCAGGCTGGAAACAGATCCCATTCAAGCATGCTGCCCCTGGTCAAGCACACTGACCTGCTGTGTGGTGAGATCCCACTGGGAGTTGAAGAAGTCATCCTTGTCTTGGGTGAAGACAGGGACATCATACTCTTGCACAATGGGAGGGTCTGGGCGCTGCTCTATCACCTTCAGGTGGATGGTGTTCGACTCATCTGGAGAGGGAGAGGGAAGTGCTCAGTCCTCACAGAAACCTCTGCTCCCTCAGGAGCTCACAATCATCAGCCCCAGAACACCACCACGCCACATGGAGGAAGGCGTTTGCAGCCAACAGTCCATCCCCCCTGGCTCTTTGAGCCACCCAGGGCAAGGCTGGTTCAGATGTCCCCCAGTTCCAAGCACAGACAGGCAGGGAGCTGCCAGGAGCAGCACAGACAGAGCCAACCCAGGCAGGGGATGGCTGAGCTGCCTCCCTGCCCTGCTCCTGCCCTTGCTGCTGGGCCAGCACAGCTGCTGTACCTATGGGCAGGGTGCACTTCCCCTTGGCATTCAGCTCCTCTAGCAGGATGGTCATGATGGGAACCAGCTTCTGTTTACTCTCCTCATTGGAGATGAAGCCGCTTTCCAGCTAAAGAGAGCAGAAAATGGAGTCAGCTCCTGTCCACAGGATTACCAGCTACAGGAACCAGGCCTCTTGGATCCCGTCCTCCCTTAAACTTCAAGCAATGCATCGGTAAAACCAGCACGATCCGCTCCTTGCCATAAACCTGGGCCCTACCCCAGCAATGCCCAGTGACCCACAACGTGCACCAGGAACCAGTGACTCTGTGGGGTGGATCATGAGGCAGCCACCATCTGCTCGCATCGGCTTGGGCCTCACCTCCAGGGTGGTGAGGTAGCCAGCCAGCTTCTTCACAATGGGCTCCAGGGCACAGGCCTTGGCTCTGGCATCACACACGAAGCCCAGGTTGAAGAGCAGAGCATTTCGGCTGTACTTCTTGTGCTCAATACAAACCGGGCAGCCGATCAGCTTCTTCTCCATGGCTGTCCTGGGGGAAAACAAGTAGAACGTGCACCTATGCCTTCAGGGAGGCCTGAGCCCCACACAAGCCTAGTTCCCAGTTGGCTTTGGAGGTGAGGGCTTCTCTGCTTTGCAGGAAAAATTATGTCTAATCCCCAAGTGCTCAGAGAGTTCAAAACACACAGTCTGAAAAAGTGGTGGTGGGGGGGAAGGGAGTCAACCATCAAAGAAGAAAACAGCTTCCTTTCAAAACCAGAAGATCTCTCAAGGTTCATTTGACTGTCCTGGATTTGAGGCTGACAGAGAACCACATGCAGCATCAGCCATCCCCAGGATGAGGTACCCACCCCCCTGCACTGGTAACCACGGGCATTGTCATGAACCTGCTGACCACGGGGACAGGAATCCCGGTGAGCCCAGAGCTGACAGCTGGCACTGTCACATCACCAAGCTGTGTTTTCCTGCTGGCAGAGACTTGCCCAGCGGTGGCGAGGGCCACGGATCCTCCCCCCCCGGGGAAGGGACGAGGGGCTTGCCAACACTCACACGGTGATCAGCTTGTTCTGCAGCTCGGGCTTCGTGATGACATACACCTGGATGGTGTCAAAGAGCTCCCGAGAGATGAAGTCCTCCGGGACCTGCAGTGGCACAGAAGGCTCCGCTCCAGCCGAGCCCTGCTGCCGAGCCCCGTCCCAGCCCCGTGCCCCCACCGCTCTCCCCTGCGGGCGCTCCCGGAGCCCAGGCCCAGCCCCCTCAGCGGGAAGGTGCTCCCGAGTCCCAGCGCCCCCCCACACCTGGTAGGTGATCTTGGGCCCCAGTGTGGGGTGGAACTCGCTGAAGAAGACGCACTCGATCCTACCGCCCATGGCTGCCGGGGAAAGGCCCGGCTAGGCCCCGGGGCGGCGGGGATGGGGACGGGGACGGCGCTCACCGCACATGCGCCTTAGCCCCTACCGGCTACCGTAGCGCTCATCCTGGGGCCACAACGTCATACGGCCGCGCCGATAGAGGCGGGCTCTCACCCTGAGCGACGGCGGCGCGCACCCATTCAACGGCCCGCGGC